CATTTTTATATAAGTATACCTTCATACCCGATAAAAACCATTTTATATCAAATTATTACATTACAACACAAGATATAAAGGGAATCTGGCTCACATTAACATATGCAACTACTAAAAAATGTACTGATCCAATATCATCAAATATTCCTAATCATAGCACAGAACTGACTAGACTACTAGATTAAATTACAACCTTATGATTTGTATGCTGCAAAGTAATCAATTTTTTTGTATTACTTTCATATCAAATAATATGCATTTTTTTTAAAAAACTACTGGAACCTGAAGAAAAAAACGTGGTTAAAAGACAGTTTAGTATTCTAATTTAGATACTGAAAACGACAAAACTTGCAAATGATTGGGAAATTCCAGAATGATAGAGAAAATATATACAGCTGTTGCCAACTATTTGATGCAAATAACCTTTTCGGATTTTCATCACCAAACCGGCGTTCTTCCCGTGCATAATTTTTTGGGGAAGAAAAGCTAACAAGACAATTGCTTTTAATTAATTAATAAAGCGCAGACAAATGTTGCTGAATCACACGGAATAGGTGAATAAACAGACTTATAGTGCTACGTGTGCAAGCAGACTTGTGTAGAATATGTTTAATATCTTCAACAATCTGGAATCAAATCATGAGTGATCGAAAAGAGCATAGGCTTCATTGTGATGGCATCTATTTAGCAAAGAATTTTGTTATTGCTGTAGTACAAAAAATGTTGTGTACCCCGTTTGCGATACCACTATTTATATGTCCCAGAAAGTGGAGTTGCTATTTTGCACCGAAATCTTAAAACCATAAAGGTACATAAAGCTGCAGCGTGTTCATCAAAAGTGCCGCGTTGACATTGCTATAATGTTTACAAAACTATTGGTAGGTTGGAGGATCACGTAAAAATCACGGGCTTTCGAAAACATTATAATGTCCGTAAGCGAAGCATTAATGTATGGACGAGGTTAGGAAAAAAACAATGAGAAATAATGAGATTCGTTCCACCTTCTGTTCATTATATTAATGGTTCGGCCCTTTAAGTGAAGAGACGTATTGCGCAAAATAAAATTTCGCTGTATTATTTTTTACTCACAGGAACACGGTTTTAAGAACTGAATAATGTAACATAGATATCTTCGCAGGTCATGCGACTGTCCGCGTACCGTTATCTTGATACAGGTAGCCTACTGATAAGTTACCGTGTCTGCTCATGTTCGTTCAGGATACTGTATGATTTTCAGGGAGTTGATGATAAAAATTTTAATATTACACTACTCCGTCCGCCCAAGTAAATTATTTATTTGGATGCTACTGGAGATGTTATTAGAGGTGATACTTCTAGTATAATATAGAATCCGCGGGTCACAAAGTGACCCATCGCGTTTTATTGGTGACCCACCAAGGCACGAATAAAATAAATGCTAACATATCAGCGATAAAACCGGCCTTAAATTAATTTAACAATAAATAAACTATTATAATGTTCCGTCAGTTGCTGGGCAGTCAGGGCTGCGATCGCTTATATTCAAATTGTTAACTTCCGGTATGTGGTAATTTTCAAAACCCCTAATCAGTCTCTGCACCGCTGTGTACTGTTATTCAGATATTGGCTCTGACACCGTTTATGACATAACAATGCAATTGATGTTCATTGCTCCATAACGTCATGTCTCTTTCGGAAGTGCATCTGCAGACTGGTTTAGGGGTTATACGAGAAGTTCGATGCATTTTATTAGTTTCTCGCCTACAATGCCGTTGGGAAAACAAAATCTTTCAGACTTGAAATAAAAATCTATAATTCGAAGTAACAATGGGGCAGTGTAAAAGTGCCCATAGTGGTTGAAAGCTGATCGAAAAATATAACACTTCAGAGTGGAATTCCCTTCAAACTCTTCGGAACCGTAAAATAATTTGCCGCATCATCCTAAACGTAATTCGTACAAGTGTTTTCGTACTATAATTTCATAAAATCGAGTGCCATAAAAAGTCTTTGATGGAAGTGCTGCATACATAAAGCCCAAAACTACACCAACACCAACCGAAGTTTATAAGATTTGTTTCAGAAGTTTCTTATAGATACAAACATTGATTAAATATTTGTGACCCACTCTCTCCTGTTCTGCGATAAAAATATAAATTTTGACCCATTCATTGAAAAAGGTTCTCCATCTCTGATATATTTTCAAATTTATACATTGCTTGCGAGAAACCTATATTATAGGGGATACCTCTCGTATCCTAGCTGGCAAACCGAAACTTTTGTTTGAATTGTTCAAAATTGCTATAGCCTTGCTATGCGAACTGCTCTTATCACGTCTTAAACGTTCAACTAATTGTCACAGATAGTAGGCCTATGATATGGATGTCCAAATTCTTCAATTGCTCAATGCTTGATTATTCAGTAACAAATTTTTTTTACGGACAAACTGTCGTAAAAAGCTCTCCTCTAAATTTAGTTTTAGGGGAAAGTCCTAATAGCAATTTGAGTGAAATTTTAACACGCGAGGTTGAAGAATCCAGTGATGAATTTCTTATTGCGAATGAAAAAATTGACTTGAAACAAGAAATAGAATCTCCCTTTTATGTCAGATATGCCACACTGATAAATGAATTTCCTAAGACTCCAACATTTTTAACTTGTTCGGACATACTTAATTTATCGCTTCGGATCACCGAAAGCAGGGTGCTATTGAACAACATTTTGGCTACATGGCCGAACTTTTTTCAATAACACTCGTGCTTCAGATGATTTCGCTCATCGATATGTAGAACAAATAAAAATTCTTCAAAAACAAGTTGGTGACTTGTGATTATCTTTTGAAAAACGTAAATATGCTCTCAAAAACACTTCCAAAACAAGTCCAATGGTTGAATCTAAGTATAAGAAAAAGAGGAAAGTGTCGTGGGAAGGGTGCCCACAATGAACATCTTTGTGCAAAATTTGTTAGGAAGTACAACAATATAACATTAAATGTTCAACCACAGCAGAACACATTTGACAAAACTGATAATGTGTACTAAAAATACAATATACCTAAAATAACTAGGTGCGCTCCCTGCGCTTAGAATCTTAACTTAACAAAGCCAAAACATAATGTCGTTTTCAGAAAATATCTGGACGAACAAAGTAGAGAGCCTGCCAGCTTATAACCTTCATGCAAAATAATAAAAGAAGCCTCCTTTTGACGGGAACAACATGCTGCTCTAGACTCTTGATATGAAGCACAATTATTAAAACTTGAGCAAAACAAAAATCTCACGATTTCGAGTGAACGCATCATCATAGAATAATCGCGTTTTCATAACAATGTACGTTTATCCTACCCTTGACCCCTGAAAGATTCTCTCTATACTTTATCATTGAAAAATTGCCAACGCCAAAGCATCACTGTGTCGAGCCGAACTTCCGAAATTATTAAAAATCAACGCGAGCAACTCATTCTATGAATTAAGGAAAGATGTAAAGCCTTAAATGACAGGACACACTGCCGGTTTTCAGGCGAAATTTAAATCTGCAAGTATTAAATACCTATTACTTTTACGCACTGTATTATTCACAGAGAGGCCTCAGCCCTCAGTAGTCTGAATGCAGTCGTGTGGGGTGCTGTGAAAAAGTTCTCTAAACCCCATTGAAAGTATCGCACTCAATGCCCGTATTTTTGCAAATTTATGTGATGACATAGAACGGGACTTCGAAACACTTTATTGCACACCGAAGTTGGGTGGCTGTCGAAAGGGAACGTTTTAAAAGACTATTAATGTTTAAAAATGAACCGAACTTTTTTTAATGGAAAAAAATTAAGAGTTGGTCCAACATTTTCACAGCTGGTTGTATTATGCTATTTATCAGATTTGCATGAACATCTGAATGAACTAAATTTGTCCCATTGAATCCTTCATAAAAAAATAAACCTCTGGAAACAAAATTCTGAAAATTATTCATCGGATTGAATAACAAATTAAAATTGGATCCAAAAACCAGTTCCTCTCTCTTAAATCTCAGGAAGAATTTACGGGAAATTTGAATTTTCTGGAAAAAAGCTTCACACTTTTTGGCTTAGTGTTAAAGCAGAATTTCCAACATTATCTGGTTTAGCAGTAGGCCTAACTGCTCTCTTGACCTTCATCTTGACGTATTTAGGCGAGTCTGCATTTGGCGACGATAAAGACACAATACTGTTCGAGTATTAGCAACATTGGAACTGCATTGAGGCCTGCATTAACAAATATTGAGCCACGACTGTACTTGCAATGCAGCAAAAAGCAGTCGCACCCATCACAGTGAATAACTAACTGAGTGACGTTAATAAATCTCAGTCAATGTGTGTTTGTTTTTGTATTGAGTAGCCTATGAAAAAATTTAAGAATTAATTGTGTAAATGAAATATCCAAAATGGATATTCAGCAATACATGGACCGCGAAAATATTTAATATATTAGAAGCGGCCGCGAGCTCAAAATTTTGGGAAGTTGTGTTCTGCAGTCTACACCACTCGTTATTTTCTTGTGTACAATATAGTAGAAACGGTGTGTTCAAACTCCACACATAAATACCTATTTACGCCCGAATTATCTTTCGTGTATTTTTAAAAAAGTGGGAACGTGCATTAGCACGCCTTAATAAACCTTTTCAGAGTTTGCCTACTTTCCTGATTTCCCGTATATTTGTTCGTTATGCTTCTTTGCCTTGTTTTAACGGAAATCGAAATAAACTCACCTACTAATCCTGTGCAGTGACACTGACAGAAGGAAGTTCCTATACCTTCGAGTATCTTTTGTTTGTCGAGTATCTTTGACTATTTCTCCAAGGCCCAAGCCTTGTTGGTTTCAACTAGGTTTGTGTTTTTTGTAATTTGTTTTTGTGTGTGTGCTGGTGGGCGGGCACATGATATTTCCAATGTTTTAAACTTTTTTAAAGGTTTTGCTCGCCTATCAGAATTCACCATTTATAATTTGTGTGTATATTATGGAGTACTCTATTTGAATAAACTATCTGGTACTGCAGTATTACTGACTCACGGCGGTGCCTATTTATGAGAGTACGGTACCGGTAGGGTTGTACCTGTGCCTACTTAGTTACGTTGCCAGTACGTACGGTAGTCAGGTAGTGATCATTAATGAGGTACCAGCATTTTTCAGATGTGTATCGGTGCCGGTAGTACGACACCGTAGTTTATTTGCTACAATAGCATACGGGTAAAATAGGTACGATGCTGAATATCCCCCTTCGAATATTTTTAAATGAATCCAAATTTCATTCAGTTTGCAGATAGATAATAATGCATATGCATGTACTTTAACTTATTTCAGTATACGTTGTTTGTGTAATTATAAAGTTTGCCCCCAAGATGTAAACTTGTGTAATTGATACCATACCAGTCACTATATGCCTATGTACTGCATCTGCATATAATGGTTGAAAAGTTGGATATTGAAGTAAAATTGCTTCCTGGCCATAGAGGTGAAGTGAACACATGTTGCATATCTCCAAATAGTGATATTGTTGTTACTGGTGGAGATGATGGCAAACTTTATATTTGGAAAGCTGAGACGTGCCTACTTTTGTGCTCCTTATCTGGTCACTGTGGACCAGTAAACTGCTGTGCATTTTCTACCTGCGGGAAACAATTGGCAAGTGGTTCATATGATTCCACTGGCCGTATCTGGGACATTGGAGTATCTAAAAGTCTGTTTGTTCTGAAAGGTCATTCAAAAAGTGTTGAAGGAATATGCTACTCATTCGATTCTAGCTTAATTTCTACTGTTTCATGGGATAAGTCTGTCATACTATGGAATAGTGAATCCGGTCTCAAAATTAAAGAGTTTTTGGGACATACAGATTGTGTTAGTAGCTGCGCATTTTCACACACTGGAATAACTCTGGCTACTGGAGGTTGGGATAATATGGTTATTTTATGGAATATTAAAAAGAAGTCCAGGCTGCAGAAACATAGACCTGGCCCAGACCCTGAGTATACCGTTCTTGAGGGACACAGTGGAAAAGTATCATGTGTGTGTTTTTCAAGACTTGGAATTTTGGCTTCTGCCTCCTGGGATCGATCTGTCAAACTTTGGAACGTACAGCGAAAACAGTTGATTATCACATTTAATGGGCACACTGGTTGGGTTAAAGCTCTTGCTTTCACCCTAGACTCTGTTAATCTAGCATCAACTGCAGATGATGGTTCAATTCGAGTGTGGAATCTACCTAAGCTTGAATGTGTGAAACAGCTGAAGGGTGAAACTGATATTGCTGTGATGTGCAAGTTCTTGTCAGATGGGCGCTTAGTCATTTCAGGAATGGCAAAAGAATCACAAATAAAAAGTCAAGAGGTCGAGAATAATGATGGTGAAATGAAACATAGAAATGTGAAAGAAATGTCTCTGCAGGTGTCATTTGCATGAATAAAACGAAACGATCAGCACTTTGTTACATGTATTTATCACAAATTAGGTATGAATTCTTTTTGATGTTCCGTTCTATGATGAAATACAATAGCCTTAAAGCTTTTGCAGTCACACATCACTCGATTCACACAAAGCTTTAATGACTTGTTCAGTAGTCAATTTTAATCAGGTCTAGCTGTCACAGATAAATACTATATAAATGAATCTACTGCAATGCTCTTTCATATGCATACCTCCATTCTTTCTTAGTGCACTGTATTTATATTACTTCGATTTATTAATCATTCCACTGTGGTCAAGGGCTTTTTAACGTTCAAACACTCCAAATCAACAAGTACAAATTTAAATTACGGTACATGATTTTCTGATGTATACTATTCAATAGGTATACGTTATGCCATCCATATTTAATACATGGAATCTTCACCTCAACTGATTTCCCTGTGGTCAAATGTTTTTTACTGTGTATGTTACATGAATTGTTTATAGTATTCATATTATATAGTATTATAGTACAAACCAAATTTTAAATAGATATTTTTGTTAAAATTCCCAAGAATTTATGTGACAAATTGAATTTTTCTACTGTAAAATCATTATATCATCTGATTTCACAGAAGCCTAGGAATATAGAATGGAAATGCTTGATTATGGCTCATTTCCCAGAAATCATGCCTTTTATTTTTGTTGGTGAATTATTCTGGAATAGCCTTATTACTAACATTTTGTCTTAATAGAAAAAAATTGATTGATACATAGGTACGTATAAATTTTATGTAACCATATTAATTATATAGTACTACAAGTATACTGTTAGCTTGCATCTATGTATAATCACAATTTAGCTAGTACCATATGTTTAAATATTTCATTTTAAAAGCCTAATCCCATTATAATACATGTTAGAGTTTGGAAATCTTCTTATGCTTTTGTTTCCTTATAAGTTACAACACTCAAACAACTTAGTTAAATAAGTAGTACCTTAATAATGATTCTCTACCAAAGACAATATACAATACAATAAAACAGTCTCAAACAACTGAGTTATATAAGTAGTACTTTAATAATGAATCTGTACCAAAGACAATATACAATACAATAAAACAGTCTTAAACAACTAAATTATTTAAGTAGTACCTTAATAATGAATCTGTACCAAAGACAATATACAATACAATAAAACTCGAAAATAATATAAACCGGAAAATAGCTTGTGTCACATGTTGTTGTTTCAAGTCAATAAGGAGTCCGACACACAGAAGTTCAGATGCGCATATCCCGAAGATTAGTATCTAGATGAGCTTGCAATGGGCAACAAACGGTTTTTCTGTGATACTAACATAGTTCTTTAGAATGTAGAACAACACGAACCAACAGCGTTAAATCAAATGAGTCACTGGTCAACATTAACTGGTTGAAATCGGGTGCCAAGCATTACGATTACCAAACACTCCTTTTTACACATAGGCTACTTGTTGATTTCGCAATCCAAGTTATTTTAAACTTCTGATTCAATTGGCAATAAACTCGTTACTCGTATCCATGCAAAGTCGTTGAAATTACATTAAGCGCATAGTTGCCGAAATCACCTTGTTCATATTATCACAAACTCCGACACCAACAATCGTATAATTCAATAGTCAAAATAGCTGTAAAGTAGTTTCATTTTATGTATCGCCATTTAAATTTCTTTATTGAAAAATGTCTGTCATTTTAAAAATTGCTCTCTCTGACTCATTGATCAAGTGAAGTTTTTTCCCAGTGCATACGATCTAATAAAATTAATAAATCATTTTCGAAATATTAAAGATTACCCAAAGATTGTTATATCGTAGTGGAGAGCGAATGTGTATCAGCTGCACCGGGATATTAGACGAACTAAAATTAAAAAAAATAGCTGAATAGCTTGGTGAGTCAGCTGATGTATAGCAACTAGCAAACCCAATGGTGTTTGTTCGCTATACCCAGGACAGGATCAAAGTATTGATGGTGTGTGATCAGCTTGGTATCAAAAAAATAACCGTAAAATTTGCATTGATAATGTTATAGGAAACTATGGTGCCTTTTTAGTAGTCTTTTGCATTGAATTGTTTCATTTGTTGCGGCTGTGGAGAATGAAAACTCGGTCTATATTGGAGGTGACGAATGAATAAAAAATGGCTTGAAACATATGGAGGATCAATTTTGCGGGGATGATTCTGACGAGATGGCGTAAATGAACAATTCGTTATCTACAACTTATGGAATCCGATAGTGAAGAAGAATTCATTAAAAAACTGGACTACATATAATCAACGAGTAGTCAGCTTTTCTTTAGCTTCCCGTAATTAGAAGAACATGTTGTAAAATCTATGCGATACGGAAGACTATGCTCGCAAGTTAATATTAGTGAATACATGAATGACGAATAATAAATCCTTTGCCGAAAGTGAAGAATTACACCTAAATATTATAGAAACGACTTCTGAACAATTTAGATACCTATATCACTACGACTATATTAACAGACTTCGGACAATCAAAAAGTAAATATGGCAAATTCACTCAAAAAAGTATGGCTTCATATTGCTAGTGATATTAGGTTGATGCAAGTGATGATTGTAACTACTCCTTTTCCACCCTGGTATAAACGAGATGTGGAGTCTGACAGAAAGCGCCCCAGAAGAAAAGACTTTAATTAGATTGCGATTCCTGCACATCTTTCAAGGATATGTCATATATATGCGGAATGCATCTTTCATATGCGGAAACTTTTTGGCATTAGCAAGAAGAGAATATGACAAAACCATAGCTGCACATCTTTTCGTTACTGAGACCACAGAAATCAGTGAAAAGCATTCATTCGCGAAGGTTTAGCAAGTGAAAAAGCTCAGGGTAGTTTTAACTCTTAACACTAGGTTTATTTTTACAAACGTTTGATGCGAACAGGAATATGAATCGTTTTGCAAAATTGTTGTTGATTTTTTATCAGGGTTCTTGAACAACTACTATTACCGATTTGAATTTTTCAGTGCTGGACGGGACTATACAAGTCGGTTTCCGAAATTGCAATTACCAGTAGACGATGACAGATTGATAGTTTCACAAAATGGAGTGAAAATCATGAATATATTATTTTCAACCGCAGTCAACCCAGTCTATTTCCTTGTCAGTCAGTAGGAAACCTGGCATTGCATGCTCTCTACCAGTGTATTGTACTCTGGTGTACAGCTTGACACCGCAGCCCTGAAGCCTGACTCAGTCTTGCAGATGTTAGGCGTGTTCTGTGTTTGTTATTGATAAAGTTCCAGTCAGAAAAGGATGATTCACAAAGATAGGTTGAACCAAACAAGCTTGTGACCCTCAATTGTCAAAGCTGCTGTTCATACACCACTGTTCTTTTCCTGCCTACGCCCCGTTATACTTGGATTAGAAAAGTGAATATAAAACACGCATGATCCAGTGTGTGTGATGTCATAACTGAAACAGCATTAAATGACACATGACATTACCGAGTTGGTGATCCCTGCCGCAGAATGAGCAAATGAATATCAACACGTCTGTTTTAAAAATCGGTACTCATAGGCGCTATTCACAACGAATAGTTCTCAGCGCGTAAACTTGTTGATTTACCACGGGAAAAAATCTAGGCGAAGTTAACAACAAAGCACCAAACGACACATATTTAACGCAAAGCATGACCGAAGCGACGCAGAATAAGCGGACGTAGAGCAGAACTCCAAGCCATTAACCATTTATTACGTAGCCAGAACTAAATAGCCAGCACACGGTTGTCATGTTGTAAATGATATACCGGAAGAAATTGTCATTTGCACCCATGGATATTTCCGCCAACGGTCATTTGAACGCGGGTATTTGTATCTAGGGACAGTTGCACGCACGGGCATTTGAAGCCGTGGAATCTAAACCCATGTATATTTTCCGCTCTAGTCACAAGAGAACACAAACGATACAACGAAGACATTGCTACCCCCACTAAAACCATTACCGTAGGGCGTAGACAAAGAAAGTTGACCAAATCTGTGTCTGGTTACTGTGTACATCCAGGGGTGGGCAAGTTACAGCCCGCGGGCCGTATCCGGCCCATCGAAGTGTTTCATCCGGCCCACTTGTGCCTGCTCAAATTACGACTATAGTTTTTACGAATATAAATTTCCAGTGAAAATATCGATTAAAATAACGAATCGTCGGCTAAAATAAATACTGTAACTCCCCACGTATTATCCTGAACACAATATGCAAAACGAGCCACATGCCGATAGTCCGATACCATCCGAATTACCGTGTTTCCCCGAAAATAAGACTGGGTCTTATTTCAATTATCTTCCGAAAAATAACACTGAGGCTTATTTTTGGGGGATGTCTTATATTTTAATTTATCAAAACAAAATTACAAAGTAGAGAATTACGAGCTTTTCAAATATACAAAAATAAAATATGAAAACCGATATTGATTTACCTGTAAATAACACGTTTTTAGTTAAAATAACTGCGAAACATTATTAGTCATTTAAAACGTGCAGAAGAGATTTCTTGCTATCGACTATGTCAAAACAAATTTTGTGTTATTGACTAGGTCTTATTTTAAGAGGAGGGCTTATATTAAAATAATTTTTAAAATTCAGGCTAGGTCTTATTTTCAGGGTAGGTTTTATTTTCGGGGAAACACGGTATTTATATCTGTCAAGATTACTGATATCTCCCATTCCACGCTCATCACATCGCTTTATCGCAAGGTTTACACCAAAGTCATAAAATTTGAGAGTAACGTTTATTCGAGTTACCAAATAGACGCTTTGAGTAATAATGAAGGCAAGAAACCACGAAACATAGCTCTCGGTTCTGCCAATCTCCATGGCAAAACCAGTGTTTAAATACAATAACGAGCAAAATATATGATTGCAACCTACGCTAGGAACCGATGTATGTTTTTAAAGTCACGATGAATGTCACAGTGTTCGAGAGGATTGCTATACTCCTCGACGTCGCAGAATGATTTGCTTATTATTGCTCGCCAAGCACGTTTGTGGGCGCAGGTATCTTAAACGACTAAAAACATCAGCGTAAAACGCTCCTATTACCAACCGGAATCCGGATGTATTTTCAAAGTCGTGACACCAGATCAATGTAGGGAGTGTACAGACAAATGTCATTAAAATATCCGACATATTTGCTGAAAGAAAGACGGAGTAGAGTATACACAGTGTCATGATTCGGAAAATTTATAGCAGTTTAAATGTGCTTGAATCTAATATTGAAATACTTGAGGAATTATTTTCGTTATGCTGACACTGAGGGTTTCTGATAAATCAGCTGGACCCATTTTGACGTTAAATTTGTGGAACTTTCACAAAAATATGTCCGCGAAATATTACAATTTGAGCAGCGAATAATTATTTTCCAGAATCCTAAAATTATAATGGAATATAAGAGCTTTCCACAAAGATGGATATTACTTGGAGTTCTATGCTGTGTCGGATTTTCGCAGCTGTACACCCTAACCGGATTCGTAGTATTGAACAATGTCGTAAGTCAGTTTTACCAAGTTCCGCCGTCTCTGACGGATTTATTAGCAATATTTGGTTCACTTCTCGGTTGTCCAGTTGGATTGATATCTGCCTACTTCAGTGACAAATTGGCACTTCGTTCCTTGATGCTCTTAACAACTGGATCGCTATTTTGTGGATCAGTTATATGTACAATTGGATTTTCCTCAGGGTAAGGTTATTATATTTTCATGGTATTCTTAACGCTATTTATCTTAAACCTATTGACCACAACAAAATAAATCGCTTTTGACCTATTTACTGCGATCTGATTATATTACATTTTCTGTACGATATGTAGTGGGGATTTCTCTCATCTCATCATTTCTTCTCATCTATTAGCTTGACATAGTTCACCAGCTTCTCTTTACTGTATAATTACATTTCAGGAATTTATTTTGTGTCACAGTCATTGGACGGATCATAATGACGTCTTCGATTGGAATTCTATACACAACTCAAGTTATTTTGGCGGCATGTTGGTTTCCAGCTCACCAGACAGCGACGGCACTTACTCTGCCTCTGTGCTTTTTTATGATTGGCTCAGTTTCGGCTTCATTAATATATCCTCATTTCATTCCCAAAGCAACGTTTACTATTGACGCAAATGTCAGTGGGCATGCATCGCAAAAAGTGACGAACTTATTCGTCACTACATATTGCGCCTTATCAGCGTTGTTGCTTATCTGCCTTTGTCTTACATTTGGATATTGTAAGAATTACCCGCCTTCACCTCCAAGTCGAGCACAAGAGGAAGTTCTTACCAACATGCAAAAACACAACGAGCAGACAAAATCAATGATGCAAAAATTTAGCGAAATGTGGACTATCGTTTCGAGAAGGTCATTCGTATTACTCTGTATGACCGAAATATTCGCAACTAGCGGTCTAGTTTTTCTGCAATTTCTATTACCTTCATTTGTACTAGATATTTTCCCGAATTTGCATGATACAGTGCCAGGAACAATTCTTGTAATCAGCATTATTGCAGGAGCGTTTACAATGCCTATTGCGGGTAAACTTGTTGACAAATACAAAAACTTCAAAACTATGGCAATATTGGGTTAGTATTAACTTTGTATGACCAATAAATAAAAAATATATATGTTTAACCTTTTTTATTATTTACAGGTCCATCGGTGATGTCAGTATGTACACTCGGAATAGTATTTGCTTATCAATACAAGAACATTGTTTCATTATACATTTTGTATTTCATATTCAGTATTGGAAGAAGCATTTACCGCCCATCAGCTACCGAACTTCTATTGGAAATATCGTATCCAGATGATAAGCTCCTGGTTACGTCACTGATTATGGTGATAATAAATTTGGCCCTATTCTCATTTACGCTCATAATGAGAGCTATTCTCACATTCGCAGGCGCCGTTATTGCTTCTGCATGTACAGGATTCTTCCTCATTTTGACAATAGTTTTTGTGTCACTTGTAGCACCTGATTATAAAAGACACAATGCCGGAATTACAAAGTACACAACCATTGATGAACAGTGATCACAACTTGAACTTGTACATCTCGAGTTGACACTTCAAACTTCTGACACTTCAGCAAATTATCTGGTATATCATTAAATGGAATAAAATTAGCTCTTCAGTATTAGTAATGTGTATTGGATATTTTAAAGAAAATCTGGTAGCGGGGATAGAGGAAAATACATACAGCTCAAGCATTTGCATTTCACAGTAGTGTAGTCTACAAATTTTGATTCGGACTCAATTCTGTTATAATTCAACCGGTTCCTGCACGATATTTTAGTTTGGTTTTGAGGACGACAATGCAACCCCTGGAATATGCTGGCTAATATGCTCCGGCATTTTTTATTAGATTAATCCATATTTAGAGGTAAAAACGTTCATTGACTGGTTGTAGTTGTGTGGTATGGTGGACGACAGCTTATCGTTAAACGACGCCTAATAGCAATGGTGGTGCCTTTTACCAACCCCTCGATCTCTATCGCACCCCCTTTTTACGATTTCCTGACCTTCACTCCCAACAGCAATTCAAAGACTTCACTAGCACACAATTGTTATTTTTTTGTTAACTTGATCAGCCCGAATTAGATTATTTTTAACGATGCACTTGAATTAACATATTTGATTTTACGGATATCCGTTTATTGCCTATAGTGAAACTGGAAGAAAGATCGAAATGATGAAAATAGTTTACACCCGTGCTTAATCGGGAATAGCGCCTACTAAACCACCCGCGGGTTCTGTCGGGTTGATGATAGCAAGTCTTAGAAACACTATTTCTTTGGATTTATGGCAATGAGGAAATGCACAAATCGAAACTAATGAGATCCAAAGTATATCTCAAGTCAAGACATCAAACGATAAATCGAAAGACGCACATACATAAAATTATATCGAATTAAGCCATCGCACGTTAAAATAGATGTTATCGGATTTCTAAAACTGTACCTTACCACTAGCATTTTATTTTGGTAGGAAACTACAAATAGGGAAAACCACATCTTTCATCTTCTTGAGTTGTATATAGCTACCCTTTTTGTTTATATTTCAGACACTTATCCAAATATATAAAAAAGCGACCAAGAAGAACATAGCCAAGTATTAGCGAAATAAGATCTGGACCGACAAACGATGGAGAAGTCTGGTTTGTCATGTAATTTGAGCCATCACTTCGACTTTTCCTTTACCCAGGATAAAAATCCTACCTCATCTGAACTATGTTGAAACCACCTACAATATTGACAAATTCAACTCTAAAACGCCACACATATTTTTGATTTTATTCCCCAGTCATTATAGAAACAAATATGCAATTCTAAGAATCTAAGTAATGTTAGATAACTAATATTTAATGAGAAATGGACAAGAAATCAAAGATATCACCATGTGAGGATCACCACAGTTAATCAGTGAACACAAGCGGTAAAATCAAGAAAAGAGTTAGATACCGACAATATAATAATACTAACTAAACCCATGCGTGTTTCGGAACGATTATCACAGTGACATCCCTGACAAGCACAGCTCGTTGACATAGAATAATAGTGAGAACCAGAATAAAAGCTTTGTTATGTTTATTTGTTAGCAATAGGTTGAATAAGTGTTACCGAACTGGTCAGACTTTGTATGTTTACAGTGAATAGCAACATCAAAGAGTTATGTTCAATCATACATAATCAACAAAATCAATTTTATGATTTATTAGTATGATTATATTAATATATTTGAATTCTGGATTTTGTTTAGTGATTAGATATGATTGGAGAATGTTTGAACACTTTACGGAAAATCCAAGAATAACAAGTATGGTACTATTATGCCCTCCAATCCCACGGGACACACAATCTTCCATGGTCAAATAAAGAGTAATAAGTTAAAGTTATCCTTATATCAAGATCTTTGAGTAAAACGTTGAATTCTGCAGAGTTTTTAAGTAATTTTTCACAGAACTTTGCAGATTGGTGATGTTCAACATCAAAATCTTTCGAAATTGAATGCACTCCCAATTTCTCTTTACACAAAGATGACAGTTTCTGAAATTTGGATTCCTCACTGTTAAATGAAGTGTTTGAAGATAGTGTTATATTGAATAACAATTTTACAACTATAAGAAGAGTTAGTTGGAAAAAATTAGAGATAGTGGTAAATAAAATATCTCAACAAGATCAGAACGAGGATGCATTTATCACTCTGATGTATAACAATAAATTGATTAGGTAATTTATCATTCACTTTGAAAATATATGAAGATACCTAGAACTAAAGTATTTTCTTTCCTCCGCCGAAGATTTTTTCTGAATTAGAAAACTGAGCAGATGATGTGGATCACAATTCATATCAACATAAAATCGACCATTCGGTGATATTGAAATCTTGTCCCCACTGTCAAAGAGGTAAAAATAGTCATTATGTTATGATTATTCATCAATGCATAGTGGAGTATCATGTGGTAGGGAGTTGGAGTGGGGGCCTGGAACCATAACATTTTAATGGAGCAGGAGCCACACGATCACATTCAGATTGCGGGAATGTATTAATATGTTATCCATTGCAGTTAATTGCACACATTTTTCAAAACAGATGATGTTATTGTAAACCTACTTACTCAGGATCGTGTGATGTAACAAACATAATTTCATGATTTCTCATTGACCATGGTAACACAGTTAGTTCTTCTGTCTGTTGCATCCAAAGTAATCCCGTTGTTATTTTGTTTAATATTGTAATATACTCGTGGACAGATAACAGTGTGTGAGTGCGCATCCTAGATAACCGAACTTCAGGACGCACAACCTATTTAAAAGAAAATTCATTGTTTAATCATCCAGATAATGAGAACATAATAAAATCAATGCCTTGAGACTTTGACCAATGTATCTTAATTTTCCTAACAATATAGGAAAATGCCCTAAAGTACCTTAATGTTTCCACATCTATTGCAAATGACTTTCTCCAAATGTGCTCCTCTATCAAACAACTTAGGGTCTATACTCTGGTACTTTATCAAAAACTGAAAAAGCAAACAAAGACAAATCTATAATAGAATTCAAGAGTTACATAGATAAATATTTGTGCTATTCTGGAAATTTCAAAATTAACTGTTTTATACGGAAATGCCATGATGCAGTATATATACCTCGTATATAAAATATTCTGGACCTTCATTATTTATCTCAGGTGAGACGAAAGAATTTTGGGAACCGTTTGTATGGAAAAAATTGAAAATTTACACAGGAATACTCCCATGGAGACTTTCAAGTTACCTGTAGCCATTGTTGTGGAACGTCTTCAACATTGAAACAAACACTCTCATCAGCAGCAACCATTGTTCTGTCAGTGAATACCAACTTTTTGCCTTGCAAACATTGTACTTGTTCTTTATGTTGGTCACAAAATCTGGCAAAATTCCGTAAAACACCCTAGAGAATTTATAAAGGAAAAAAAGGTGAATAATTCAACAATAATTATACAAGAAAACAACTCGTAAATACTGACTTCATATCATCACAAAACATACTTGTTCGCTCCTGTATTGCCATGAGCTGCACCAAAAAATCTCTCTCAGTCCATACGCCATAGCTATATCATTCCTAAGCATTTCGTTGTTATCTACAATTAAATGACTAGATTCTTGTAACATTCTTATTTCAGAAATATTTTTTTGTAGCCATCTCCTGTAAAGATAAGAGAACTATAATGTTGGCAAGGTTATATCAAAATAATACAAAACAGTCGACTAACCGTAAAAAGAACAAATAATCTCTCAGATTGTAGATAATAATACCTTAATCCCAGAGTAGAAACCTCATCACTTGACTTAAATTCTTCTTCACGCAAGTTCTGGCTCCATTTTTTTGGATCATAAGTTGTCTTTCGATATCTACTTTCCAATGGTAACTCTTTAGATTTCGATGATTGCTTATGCACAACCTCATTTAAGTGAGTTACAGAAAGCCCACATGATACTAATATATGTTCAATATTTGTCATCAAATCGTGAGATCGCAAAGTAAAATTTACAAGCTTGAAATCTAAAAATGAAATAGAGTGGGTTAAGTAAATAAGGTTATAGCCTATTTTGCAGCTAAACATTTTTATGCCAATAATGGTTCCATTACATTTGAACCCACGTACATTTGAACCCATAACAATTGCACCTGTATGCTATTGCACCTATGGAATTTTTTTTGTTTCACGGATAGTTAAACCCATACTAACCCTAACCCATGGGTTTTAGCACCCGCATATAGATTGAACCCGTGGATATACGCATGGGTTCAAATGTACGGTCACCGCCAATAATACATACAGCTATGAAAAACAATTAGGTTACATTATACAAAAGACACAGTATTCGCCCTCTGTACTAACTTGATAGCTTCATTAATGGGTCGATAAAAAAGCATTGCATTATTTTATCACATTGAAAGACTATTTGCCAAATCTGAAGGATCTCCAGTTTCACCGATTTTTGATTGTTGAAAAAGAGTTGAAACTCTTAGCCTTACTACAACTTTAAGATCGGTTTTATATCTTGAAATGTAGGCTATTTGTTAAATTCAATCTCTCACCATCATCAATCAAGTGATTTTTCTCATCAGATTTTTTTCGAAAATAGAAAGTTACTTTAGTTGGATGTAAATTTTTTATTTGCCTTGAAGACTGAACAGCTTCTAAATAACTATTTAATCGCTTTAGTGAGGATTCATTGATTTTCTGAAAAATAGAAATGTGTGGTAAGTCAAATCATTTCAGAGATTGCAATGGTAGGCTATACTAATAAAAAAATATTACAAAATTCATCATGATACAGTAAACTTCAAATTGGACAACAAACAATATGAAAATTTTTTTAACATATCATAGGCTTAATTATCAGTTAGCTTTATACAAGACTAACTATGTTTCTTTCTGTTCTATTTTTCACTGATCAACACAATTTCTCATTACCTGTATTTGTGGATGTTGAGCAAAGAAGTCTGGATGGACAGAGAGATAGAAAGCTCTTAAAGCACTTATCGTTGCACTTGAGGATAATGTTCTTATTGAAAAAATGAGTGTTGTTGGTGACATTGATCTGAGATAGAATGGATGAAAACGTGTCTGATTTATTGATGAAAAACACAAATACTTGAATCACATCAATTTTACCTATATTAATGTTTCCATATAACTTACCTTATTTTTGTCATTTTGAATATCCAATTACTAAGCGCCATTGAAAAAATTTGACAGCTAATTCATTTTTTAACTAGTTTATTATATGGAAACTTATTATATAAAACTAAAAAATACACAACATATTTAATTAACATTGCAGTCACTATTAAAAATTTAAACTCAAACATAAAACAATTATTTGTGATAATTTTTCCAGCCCCTTACCATCAGATATCAGGACACAGTTAAACATCATAGTCTGATTACCTAAATTTCATTGTTGTATGTAAAAATAAAATGGGACGTCCTGAAGTATGCGCACAACCTGAATTAGGTTGTGAACCAGGTTAGGGTTCAGATTATACGACATCTTGGTGCGAATACTTCAGGAGTACCATAAAGTGCATATAAAAAACTTGTTCAAAGATCAACAAAGGGGTAGAAAACTTTCAATAGATACCACTATCAGCAACCCTATGATGTTCATGTTAGAAAATTTCTTACACTATAAATTAAAAAATAAACTTAAAACTGATCTCAATTGTCGCATCACGAAAATCATCATTGTTGATCTCTTCCTTAATCAATGATCATAATTTTGTTGATTTCAAGAACATGTTGCAATGCGACTTCATCTCTTCTTCACCTTCATCTATTCACCAGCTTCTACCCTACAGCCGGCCCAATATATTCATAATGTAGATATGTTCAGAACTCTTATACCGAATTTGTACCACATTGTTCGTAGGAATAAAAACTTTTTTTAATATTTCCCTTGTGTTATACTTTTCATGAGTGACTAAGAATGCGGTAAATTCATGTTATGGTAGGTAGAATTATGACATAAAATAAATATTGACAGACTTTGAAATGAATTGTATCGCAGGGATTAAAAATGATTTTTCTGATTCTATTTGTTTCTGTTGTTATTAAGTAAGATCATATTGATAATGTAGGAGTGTAGGTTATCTCAATCACAATAATGAAACTAACACAGCAACAAGTCATTGCTTCTGTACGAACAATCCGCTCCATCCACCATCTTAGATTGAAAAATAAGATCAGAGATCACTGATCAGTCAATCAGTAATGTTTGGCACCAATTCCTGAATTGTGTATCACACATGCTTTTTTATTATTTAGATATTTTAGTCAAAATCAATCAGATATTTTATAAATTGATCAGGGTCGATTCTTATTACCAAGGATTTTTCAACTAATTACCAATAAACTCCTGTTCTCTGCAGCTGTTCAACCGGCAAAATTTTCACAAATTTTTATCAAAATTAATGGACTACTTGAAATACAGAAATAAAAATAGATTAAACTGAACCTTAACCATCATACCGTCCTCAATCCAGCAATCACAACCAGATGTCTGAATGTAGAAATCGCAGCCCCCACGAACTTTTCGACTCCAGCTATGAAAATGATAGACCATTGTACAGTTGTAATAAAAGAATATCAGAATATAACCATATCATTTTGCAATTTATTTTATCACATATCTTTAAATTCAAATTGATTTTTAAACCAGACATAATAAAAATGGTTCAAATAACTAAGCGACTAAATATAACAACTAATCAACACACTGTAGTCAGAAATAAACTTGTCCAGTTTAAACTGTAATGCCAACATTTTACACTTTGTATTGTCCACTCCTGTAGATTTCATCGCGAAGAGAAAGAATCTCATTATTCTTCTTGTAAAATTGTTTTTCAGATGGAATACCCATGGCCAACTTCTGCTCATGTTTTTCCCAGTTGATACGGTCATATGAATTAACCGGGTTCCATTTGTTCCAAACAACATCCGCTTTGTTGAGCGACGTATAAAGCATAATGGATGCGCTCAAGCCAGTTGCAAATCCATAGGCAGCAAATAAAGGCCACAAATCTAGGTGGCGTTTGACTTGTCCGCTAATGACACTGAGTGCACCACGCACAACCATTTTGAGTGTGTAGCTGTCAACCTTTTACAAAAAAAACCCAAAAAACAACGCTCGAAAGAATGCACAAGGGAATGCAGGAACGAGCGACTTGCAAAAACCCAGAATGCAAAGCTATTGTTGACGACTGAGATTCTTCAAGGACTCGACTCCACAGCGCCCTCAAACTGATTTTTTAACCCTTTCGTTAATTTTGATGTTTCTCGAACATCAATCCATTCGACAACACAATATAAACGTATCATAAGAAAAAAACATTACAAATAACAAACGGAAACTAATTTTATTAACTTAAATTGTGTGACAGCAGTCTCGAGCGTGGAATTAATATTCGAATATTTCATTTTGGAATAAGAGTGTTCCTATTCGAATTTTTCCAAATATGATTCTTTTCAGCATAACATCATATTATCGTTAACTTTCCATCAATTCGGTAGAACTATAGTATAAAATGTCATTGAATAACAATAATGAACTTGAAGAATGAATAAAGCTAGTAAAAACCAAACGACTAACATACCTGTAAAAACCACATCGACTAACTGATGTAGCCTAGCCTATTAACGCTGAGAATTTTTTTACAGAGATAACACTCGGCTACCTATTTACTTATTACATAAATTTACGTTTGCAATTATTATCGGATGTACCGAGACTAACCTGCAAAAGTCAGCCAAATGAAAAGCGCCAGTGAAATGTGCGTTAATTCCGTTTGTGTCATGATTTAAAAAAGAGCAAATCATAACGAGGGGAGCATCGCAGACCTATGTGTTTAAAAGCAATGTGCAATAATGTTGTTGTTATTATTATAACGCTATTATATAGATAATTCAAATAATCGCTTATATGAATCGTTTATATAAATCAATATATATATACTTATTATAATGACATGTTTGTAAAACTTCTTTACATTTTAAGTAAATTAAATATATTTTCCTGATTTCCTAATCAGTTTTTATTTTTATCAATCAATTGATCGCCGTTTACGCTGATTATGGAGTCAAAATAAACTTATCTTATCTAAGTAGGAAAAGCTGTGAATGCAACGAAAACAAGAGAGCAATGCTCATAACCATAGCGAAGCTGTCCTTCCCTTTGACGCTACCGATACCCTCAAAAAATTTCCGAGTTTCGCGTAGCAAGAATTTACAGAATCAAACTGGACAGCCAGTGTTCCCAGGGATAAAATATTACAGCGAAATTTGGGACAAAATAAAAGAAATAGCCTTCTAGCGAAACATATAATTTTTACTCACTGAAAATTTCAAAGAAAATGGTCCAGCAATAGATGAGAAAAGCGATTTTGTCATAACGACACCAAGAAGAATACAAATAATAACAAGAACAACAAAAAATGCAAAACGATCGTCGAGACAACGTTTCTGCAATCTCCCCGTGTTATCTAATTTTTTTTTCATTTTTAAAAACAGAATGAAGCCGTTTCTTCTGAAATTGCTTCAAATTGATTTTGAATACTGAAAGTCGCATTTCTAGTTGTGGGGGACCTCAAAAGGTCTTCATGCAGCGACACCTACAACAACCGCACATTCAGGTTAGTGAGTGCAAAAAGTTAACGAAACTTCAAAACACTTTAACAATTATTTTGAGGAAATAAAGAACATTTTTAGAAAGCAAAAAATTACATAATATTATGTATCATAAGTGAGGTAATTTAAAATCCGCGACTGCTAACCATTAACGCGGAAATTAACCATGTTTGAAGTGTAAATTTGATCGATGACTTCATTATTGATGAAAAAAAGGCGTGGTCAGTAGGTATAGTTCCGAAACAAAGCATGTATATATAGTCTGCTTTTTACTCGCCTCAGCATATATGTAATTAACCCAGGTGTAAATGGTGTTGAACAACATCGTGAAATTATGGGAATGTGACATTTAGCAGTATTCTGTATAGGGGAAGAGTTCACTTTCTCCATTTCGCAAGAAAATCGTACACTCAATTAAAAATTAACTACGGCAGTTTGTTTAGACAATCCAATTGAAAAAATAATACCCGTTCTGAACCTTTAGCCAAATACTACATATCGTTAAACTTATTGAGCCTTCGCACTATTATATTTTGAACTAAATTTCAATTTCGTTGAATATTTGAGTAATCCTTTAAGAAACAAGAAATGGTTTCTGTATCTTATATTCACCAGAAAGAGTTACACGCATTATATAAAATACAAATATTGAAGGTATAACCAGCTGAGAATTAACACTAATATTAGACGATGACATAGCACCAAGGTCAACAAACAACATCAAACCTCTTTGGCGGCTGGAATTCAAAAGTACCGGAGAACGAGACTTGCTATACATGATACATGTAAGGAAGCGATGGTTTAAGAATATAGCAAATTTTTTATGTAAAATACAAATTGGCGTCATAAACTGATTTCTAATTTGTGATAAATACGAAATTTCGGTTACAGGCAATATACGTACGTTACCAACCCAAATAGATTGGATAGTAAGTTGAATTTAAAAACAAAGACTGTAAAACGTCATGGCACAGGTTGGTTACCGGCCCAATGACGGGCAAGCAATCCATGATTCACAACACCTGTCATTTCGATACTTTGTAAAACCTTAATGTTGAATTTATTTTACTGAAGTGACAAATAAAACAACTCTTTAGTTGCGAGGCGTGTGTGTGTTGCATGGTCCCAATTACTGATAAATAAAGCATTGCAGATAAAGAAATTGTTCTTTGATTTTTTGTAATAAAATTGTATAAAATAAACAATAATGAAGAAGATTGTTTACGTAGAAGGTAAGTATTGCCAGACGATCGTGGCCCATATCATCGCCGACTGGTTACTGATATTTCCGTCGAACAAGTTCAGGAACAATAAATTCGATTTACAAATCATATATATACGTAGTCACGCGCCGCATTTTCTACAAATAAAAATTGTGGTTCGCACCAGTATCAATGTATCGCACAACGTCCCCTCAATTTAGTCCCGAAAATTATTCTTGACTGTTTGCTTCAATATACTCATTTATATATCAAATAATTTTCAGCTCGATATACTAACTACAGAGTCCTATCGAGTTATTAATAAGATAGTATTTACATATTTGTCCAGAGTGAGTGGAAAGATGGCTTAATCATATGGCGAACCACGGTCCTCTGCCCGGTCATCAGTTCGATGCGGGTATGGGATTTAGTGGCCAGTTATTGGTTTCAGACGCATGGATTTGATGGTGGTGGAAGCCGTAACGTAACCGACCAGCGTTTTCTTGAACCACGAACGTGAACTGCGGTGGCGAGGAGTCCAGCAATCCTAGCAAATAATTATCTCCACGGGATTCGAAACTGCAAACCCACGCAGGAGTAATCAAAGTGGAGGTGATGAGCGATGTGCCACAATTCTGAGCGCAACGTGTTCGAATAACAGCTGTCGTTTTTATACGTGAATGGACTAATCATGTAGCCTATCCGAATTCATTACGTTTTTAGTCGATCGGAAAAAATTTTGAAACAAAATACTGGGTTTTTAAAATAGAGAAAAACAAGCCGATAGTCAATAAACCTGTGTGGGGAATGCACAAAATTACATCGGTATGTCGGATTTATTATTATCACTTAATTAAGTCTATAATACAGTCTGTTGATGGTCCGAACTTGTCAAGTGCCTTGTCATGTATAATCCAATTATGAAATGATTGTTGCCTCAAATCTTTCCAAGTTTTCTGATATTTTTCTGCTGCAACTTTATATTCTAAATATGTACTTTCTTCAGCAATCGGAAAAATTAATGATTTCAATTCCGACATAGATTTCACTTCCAAAAATGATTGGAACAATGAATATTTGCTAATTAAACATTGAGATTTATCAGTAGCAAAGTTCTTACGAGTAACACCCAGGCGGAAGCCATTAGCTGAAGCTTCATGTGGGTCATTATGAATATTACACCAAGCTATGGAGCTACCACATGGCAGCAAACCTGATTTCGCTTTACCAGGAAATTCTTTGTTAGAAAATAATAGCTTTGGCAGATGAACTTCATATGGCGAAGCTACGGTTATCGATGAAATTCTGTCATAAACAGCCCTTTTCATGCATTTCAGAGAATATGGAGATTTTCCAATGATAATTGAAATAAAATATAATGGTTTGGCAATATAATGTGATATTAATGCCCCAAGACAACCGAGGACATTCCATTTAGCAATCTTGTCACTGCATGACATTGAAATTGTTGTTTCGCCTCGGCCAGGTTTGTTCCTCAATGATCCGAGAATATGGTAATCGCATCCAGGTTCTAAAGGATCTTCCGGTTCTCCAGACACAGGTTTTCCTCCTGTTCTTAACACATCAGAGTATGACCTTTCAGTCATACAGTTTACATTATTCAGATTATTATCAGAAGAATTTTCAACCCGAGCATGCTTCGTTAAATTTTCCTGTTTATCTAATGAGAGTTTTCTTTTAGAAACTGGTCTATAATTAATTGTGTCATCTTTGGATGCAGATATAGGTATTATGGATGCGTCCCCACATGGAGTTTGACTCACATAATAGTGATATTGTAAACTGCTTCTTATAGTACAGGTTCCATTCACTGGGCTGACCGAATTTAAAACAGTACTTTCTTCTCCTTTGTACACTTTCTTGAGTTCATTATACATGTATCTGAAAGCGAAGAACAAAAATGACAGCACGCGCAACATATACACTGCTTGTCTATGCTGCTCCTACCATTATTACTTTAAATTTAAAAAAATAGCACTCACCTCATGAAAGCGCGTCTAGCGATGACCTCAGCATGACTATCATGCAATATTCTTCCATCATTTCGCATTTTACTGGGGCCAATGCATTTTGTTCCAGTACCGAGAGCAACCACTTTGAATGTCTTCGCATTCACCTACAACAATACAGTTTTCAAATTACAACTTTTGTACTTCTCTACCGAAGCAGAGTCAACTGAATCTCAGTAAAATTATTGAATTATTTTACTATGGAGGTACTACAATCTATATCCTCAGATTTATTGCGGCTGAATGGAAAGAGAATTTACATTACACAAACTTGTGTATTGAATGATTAGGTCAAAAAAGATAGCATGCTTATCACTCACTGCTCATGGATATTGATAATAATCATAACCAATCTTGTATGAGAATATGGTTTGTGTGAATTCAATATTTAGGTATCCAGTGGCACTATGGACGAAGAATAGAATAATTAAGCAAAATTAAATTACCAGCAGATTGCTTTTATAAAGTTTGCCGCTTAACACAGAAATTCCACTGTGTTGCAAAGATAAACAGATACAGAGTTTGAAGACGAAAAATGTTAATATTCAAGCAGTCCCGCCACTGCAACAACTTATTTTTACTACGAAGTAAGCTTTTCAAATCCTGAATAATATTTCTATACTGATAATATTAAATAAATGATAGCCTACTATATCTATTTTAGGGAGCAAATATAATAATAAGGAAATAAAAGGGAATAAACCCCAAAGGTAAAGAATACTACATACACGATACTCTACTTTACCAAAGTTACTTTAACATAACATGACACCAAACCAACACAAAAAGAAAGCAAAAATGCTATTCGTAAGTCACCAGGAATACCCTTACACAGTTACACTTATGCATGATTATCTGCCATTTCAATATGTACATTAGTTATGAATAAGATAATGCTGAAATGCACCAGCATTACAATATGACACGGTGCTGTAGTTTTTACGGTTGACCTTACACACCAATAACTAGATGCATAAATTCCAATCTTACATCTTCTTCCACAATCCCAGATAAAACTGTCCATTCTTTTCCTACAGCTGGTTTCCCCTTTTTTGGCAGAGATTGATATTGTGCCAAACACTTTTCCGCAATCAGATTACACATCTTTTCATCATCTACTGTTTGGTCAATTTCCATTTTAACTTTATTTATTAGGTTCAACTAGATCTAGATGAAATCGATAATTTTCAGCTTGAAGTTGACAGTACGCAGAACTGACAACAAACAACACATATACCAAACAACACATATACCGTAGCCTATACCAGTACCGTATGCTGTAACAGACACAAGTTGCAAAATATAATACCGTAATGCCACATAAAAAGTATGGTGGTTACAAAATGAAAAACTCGATCTTGGATTGGGTGGTTCATGTCGATGTCAGCATGCTGCATGTAGACTTCCTCCACCATAGGACCATGCAACAAATAACTGACTACAGTACGTAACTAGGCCTAATTCCATACACGGCATGAACTGGTGACCGAAAGACAGGCTGTGTTTCACCTTATGATTAGGCCGCATTATCGGATTTCCTTTCTCCCAGAATAAATCCAATCCAAGTGACATAAAATCCTGCCGTCCTAATCTGTCAACAGTGGTGCCAGAACGTATACCGGTATACAAAACTATAGTTACAGTACCGTAACTATTCTCATACCGTACCCTATGTTAGCTAGCTGGCAGACAATGGTACCGGTACTGTACCCCGTTAAGTAGTCCGTTTTATGGGGTTGGGTCCCCCGGTTCAAATATGAAAACCCACTCTGTTGCCACGAAGGATTCAAGCAAGGACTGGGAAACATCACAGTTTGGAGGGGATTTCCCGCATAGCTGCGATTCAGCTTTGTAGGCTCGGGATTTTCCCGTCTATGGACCTTTCCCCGAGCATCGACTTTTTTGTTTACTTCGTGACATTGGCCAATCAGCAAGATGCAAAAAGTGACGTAACAATGCTCTCTTTTCGCATCCACTCAGACACTTTCTCACTCAGATAGACTTTCAAGCGTGGTCGTAAACATTACCTTTTCGCGTTTTTGAACTCTATTCGTTAGTTTTTTGTTGTGTTTCGGAAACTTAAATATAAATCAGATAATTCAATGATCACTCTGTCTTCCTAGGAATTTCGATTTAATTGCAGTAATGAAAAATTAGTGTAGAAATATATGTGATTAACTAGGCTAAAATTCTTTACCGGTACCGTAGTAGTATATATTTACGCCGGTACTTTTAAAAACAGATTGTTGTATGCGATGAATCATAATGATGGTTTAAAAAGACATACCCCATTTTACAGGCGCCAACTCGCAAAAGCACTCTTAAAATAGCCCCGAAAATTTTGCAATGGTTTTTCGGGGGTCAAAGGTCGGGGAGAGGTCTATTATCATCACCATTCTAGTGTTTTCTGTTAAGCTTGCTGGCTGCGTGTTATTTTGATCTTATACTGTTTGCCGTTTCCTTTGTATATATTGTGTAATATACTTCGTTACTTCATACAGTTGTCTCCTTGCCTTGTCAGGACATAGCAGTCATGCGCATTTTTACGATAAAGCAGCTAGCTACTTAATATTATTCTAAAAAATCATCACCAGTTTTGATAGCTTTTCTGGATACCACTAAAGCTTTTGATAAAGTTAATTATTGGTCTCTATTTCGTAAATTAATCACCAGAAAAATCCCTAGAATATTTTTGTCGTTGATTGTATCGTAATCAATCCATATTTGTTGGAGAGAGAAATTTATTGCCACAAAAACAAAATCAACACTAATATAAACAATAATAGATAATAATACAATAAAAAGAATATTTCATCAGTAATAAACAGCGATTGATTATTGTTTTGTGCGGGTCGGCGTGCAAGACCGATTAAGGTTATCTAGGCTCCCGACCCTTGTGTAAATGCTGTATATAAGCTTATCATGGCATAATATAGTACCATGTGTAAATGCAAATGGAATTAAATAAAATATATATAAGATAAAGAAATGAGTGAATGAGTCGGCAATTTAAAGTTATTATTATTAAAGTTATCAAGGGGCAATTTAGGATTTTGAGAGAGGGCATGTACCAATGTAATGTAACCGATCATGTCCAATAGAAGAATTAAGACAGTCAAAGATTTAAAAAAAGCTTTTTTTTTATTGGACACAGACCGAGATCAAAAGTTGAAAGATAGGGACAAGAAAATAATATCACAGATTCAGTAATGGAGTGCATGACGTAAAAGTATCATTTGACTCATTTTGGCACCTTAATTAGTTCACATGAAGAAGTATGGGAAAAATAGTAACAATCGATGAATATTGTTTAATTGCTACTAGCATATTTAAGTATTTATATATATAAGTATTTATACATACCGGTACTTGAATAAGGATTCGAATTTGTTACACAATGAATTTTAACAATATAAAAAAGGTTATTAACTTATGAAATGAAAAAAAAGAACAGTGACAAGCACTGAATGCTGTATAGTGGCTACCAACATTCATGAAGATATATGAATATTTTAATTAGAAATGTAATATTAATGTATGCCCACAATTAAATGTTCAGTATATCACTTCTTACACAATGGATTTTAACAATATATTGTTAAATTGTTAGATGGGGTAGCAGTGTGTCAGATCCTTTCTCTGTCCATAATGGTACCAAGCAATGTAGTATCTTAAGTCCGTATTTATATGCTGTTTTCATGGATGACCTCTCTATTAAGGTAAATCAAGAGACCATTGGATGCGTAGCAAATAACAATATTAACAATCACATCTTGAATGCTGGTGACATGTGTTGCATTTCACCTTCAGCCAAAGGCCTTCAACGTGTACTTGACATATGCGAAAAATACTCTATTGAACATGACATCTTATAGTCTACTCCGAAAAATCTGTTTTTATGTGTATCCAGAATAAAAAGTTTAGACTGAATAATTTCCCTGATATTAAACTTTGCTATTCTGTATTGACATATGTTTCGTCCACTGAATATCTTGATGTTTTCCTATCCAATGATCTCAAAGATGATCTTGACTTGAAACGTCAGTATGAATCAATTTATTTTATAGCCTATACTATTTAGAAAAAATTTGTCAATTGTTCCACTACTGTGAAAAATCTTTTATTTGGGACGTATTGTTGTAGTATTTATAACTGCCAGCTCTGGTTGTTTTTCAACAATTATAATTATAAAGTTGAAATTTAATATAATAATGCTTATCGAGTAATTCAGTGTGTTTCTAGATCTGAGAGTGTCCGGTATCTGGGAAAATTCCCTCCTCCGAAGCACTCCATAGAAAAAATCAGCGGTTGTTTATGATGAGATCCAGGAATTCTAATAACATCCTATTACATTCTTTATTTGATTTCCAGATACTGTTTGTGACTGACTATCTCGAATTCTATACTTCACTTTTGGCCTCTTAGGTTACTGTATTAACTGTTTATTTGTTTGTGTTATTTTGTATGGACTGCAGCGGTCTGGAGTAATATACGAATTGAATTAAACATAATAACATTTGGCAGCGAAAATAACCAAATAGGGTGGCTAGGTTGGCTGACAAATAGCTAAAAACAGGTCGGAATTTTGTTATTTACTGTTTGTTTATTTATATGTGTTATTTTGTATGGACTGCAGCGGTCTGGAGTAATATACGAATTGAATTGAACATAATAACATTTGGCAGCGAAAATAACCAAATAGGGTAGCTAGGTTGGCTGACAAATAGCTAAAAACAGGTCGGAATTTTGTTCCCGTTTCTATTCGTGGGGGGGGTGATCGGGCACTGCTCAGAGTTAACGAGGCAAATACCGCGTACATGATCCCTCCACGCAACAAATAATTTCAACATCCGTATTCTAACTTAATTTTTAAATCATTATAGATCGGACCGGCAAAAAATTGAAATGACCGGAACAGAAGAGAATAACATATATTTGCGTAATATAATGCAATGTCGGGCACTCAATATGCTTCTAGACAAAAAGGCACACTTAAAAAAATTTCACACGAAGAAAAACTATCAAATAATGAGCCGGGGGAATCCCCCAAAACAGCGCTCTTGCTCCACAGTGACACCTTGTGTCCTATCACTAATTAATTAATAACCCGCTAATTATACGACATAATTCATCCAAAATCAATAGGCTCCTGGTACGACATATGATAAATGCACATGCAAAATCTGGAGCATATTCAATCTCGCTTTCGTGAGATATCGCGTGTATCTAACAGACAAACAAACAGATAGACAGACAAATACCTATCAACATACTTACCGATTAAAATCGAAAAGTAATAATACCATATGCAGTGCTGGGCACCCAACATGTGTAAGAAAGGCACGCATAAAACATCTCTCATAACAAAAATGTACATGCCAAATCATGTACAAACACAATTAACTCTAATGAGAATTTTGCTGCTGTTTCGTTTCCGATACAGGATTGCAAACGAGGCCTCAAAGAAATTTCTACAACACGTTGCTCTGCAGCGCATGTAGCCGATTTCTTCGATTCGTTTTAATTAAAGCGAGTGATGAAAATGTTTTTTCGCATAACGCAGTAACTGGTTGAAAATACAGACAACAGTTTGAATGCTCTATTACTTAGCGATGGGTATTCGTTATCAAGAGATTTCCAAAATTGTGACAGTGATTCTTTTTTAAATCTGGACTGCAAACTAGAATCACAATTTTAATCAAGCGTTTTCTTTTCATCGGGTTCACCATTTTAATTCCACTGCAGTCGATCGACGCCTCGAACGAAATGAATTTATATTACAAAGTCGTCAATAACTCGGCACTAGGCTTAAAATCCTACTGTGTCAGCTCAAAATACTGGAAAATATCTCTGCGGCTCATGCTCTTTTGTGCGTCTTGTGATCACCTGCAGCGTCGCAACAAGTTCATATCTTACTGGAATATTATACTGTCCTCGACTGTTTTCTGGTTTAAACAAAGAAATATGCATAACGTTTTATATGGACGGTCATATTAATCAGGAAAAGCACGCAGAACAGAAAAAGCAAGCGTGCCGATTCTTAGGTTTCTGAATCTGGTGAGATTTAATTTGGAGCGCATTCGCGATGAATCGGAGCCAAAAAAGCGAAAAGTGTGATTACTCGTCGCCAAGACGACGCAATATGACGGCGGAAGAGGAATTGCGTAATAAACCAACGCAACCTCGTCTTCGCTGAAGCGATTGAGACGGCATGGAAAATAACAAACACGAAATTTCTCGCGGACCGGCGGTTGGGAGACACTGGTTACGCTATTGCTACACACCACTCGGCGGCGCGAAACGTTCTAATTGTTAATTAAAGTTGATGATTACTGCGAGATCCCAGTGTCAGGTTATCCCGTAGCGCAGTGGTTTTTAACCAAGGTTTCACGATTAGGTCCTGCCAGTGGAGTCGTGTTCAAATAATCAAATGCTGCTAGGTTTGCCACTACACTTGAAAATTATTTCGGTTTCTACCGTATTGCGCTTAATATTATATATATGGAATTTATAGTTATTTCCGATCCCCTCACCCAATCTTGAACAGTCGCACAGCAATATAAGTCTAAATTTCTATTTACTATAAGAATAAGCTCATGGTAGCTTTTACAAATCAAAAGTTGGTAAGTCATACTTATGCTAGGTTTCCAAATGATGCATAACACCAGAACATACGAAAAGCAGATATTGTGGGTTGATAATCATGGAAGACAAGCACATCAAATTGCAGTACTGCCATGTTCCGAATAGACGTAGAATCGCAGTCACAAAGCCCTTGATTAGTACCACAAATAACAGGATATTCAATAGGATCTTGACAAATATGTTTGTGCAATGCTAATTAATTTAATATTTAACACACAGAATCATCAATCAAAGACCCATAACAGCTGTGATGGTCAGTCGCAATTTTTTAACTTTCAAAGCCCTTTCACAAATTGAAGACACTTTAAACAATGGATGATCAAATTCTGAACTTGCTTGCACCATATTTGTTTACAGTATACCATATTCTCACTTTTCAAATTCTCAACAGAAGTGCCTACACAAACATTAGCTAAATAACAAGTGTCATAAACCTATGGTTATATCATAGTAAATATTGGCAGGGCATGAATGCATCATTAACAAACAATCAAGCATCACAGTGACGCATAACTGTTCTATAACAAATCTAATACACTAATTTATACATATCTAAAATACTTTTGATTGTAATATTGGTAAATAAAAATAACAGAATTAAGATTATGAAGAAGATCGTGGTGCCTTTGTTGAGCACCATTCAGCTCCAATATCAATCAGGGTGTTATATTGTATGGTAATGAATGAAGGCACAGGTATGTGTCAGTTCTAGATATCTAGAACATGTCATGAGAGGCAGGAGGTACAGCACTTCTTAACACCATCTCTTGCAAATGGAATGTATGAAATTGAATACCATGCGAAAGCAAGAAATTGCAGAATACAAAACAGAAGGCACAGGATTCCGATCTTCCACTGAAAAGGAAAGGGTATATAAATTATGTAAGATTAGATTGGAGAAATCAAGAGAACACTGCTCAAATAAATGGACTCGTAATGGACTAAAATAAGGAAAATCGAATTAAAAAATAATGTCCTAACCCTAACCTTGTACACATACTTCGAGAGTACCGTCTTTTCTGTTTTTACGACTATCAAGTATAATATCTGAACATTCGAGCTGCGTGGATATGTGCATAAATACAAGCATCATGCAGCCACGATTTGAAGTTTCAAAAGCAGAAAGGTCATCGACTTATTTCAATTTATCTTCGGTAATTACTTTTCATTGTTATTGTTGGTGTGAATCAACACCGAAATATTAGACCTTCATATATTTATGAGTGTTTGTGAATAATTGTTAATAGGAGTTCTGCGATAAGCCTAATAGCATATTAGTGATTTCACATTAGTAAATTGGTTGAAGAGCAATGCTATATAAAAAAAAAACTGATAAACTTACCCATAATCCAGCACAGAGCGTCAGAATAATCATCACCTAAGTAAATATGAATAAAAATATAATATATATGCCTAACATTGATGTAACATACTGTAACTTCATTACAAATAGCATGTATTAGGTGAATTTTATTCAGACTTAACTTCTAACATCATAAACAGTTGCACAACAAAAAGATTAATGAAATAATGCAACAAACTTTTGTTACATGTAGTTAGTGGTATTCTCCTGGAACATAGGTACCGTATTGTTCATTGGATTATTCTATGTAAGACAAATCTCAGGCATTTTCCAATAATTAGTATAGGATTTAGATATTTATTCCAGGGCAGAGGAATAGGGATGAAAGACTTAATCATGGCCTCTCGTCCGATTACAAGTCCATGTCTGGTATGGGATTAGTTAGTCAGTTATTTATTTCAGATGCATGGGCTGGATAGAGGAGGATTCCAGCAAACCTCTCGCACATAATTAATAATTATACAATGCACTGCCATTTTTCTGCACAAAGAAATTAACTTACTATCATAACTATTGTAGCAATTATTCTTGTTTCTTTGAACATGCTTTTAAGCTGTGCCATTGGACCACGCAAAAATAGAGTGCTTGCAATTGCTGTGCAGGTACCGATCGAGTACAAGATTGCAAATCCTTTCGTGTTTCCAAAAAATATCAAAATAGTGCCCTGAAATAATAAACAACATGAGATACTGAAATTAGTATATTAGTTTTGAAAGTAGAGTTAGGGTAGAATAGCTGAAAGTATACCACTACTGCAAGGCAACAAGATTGCCTTCTAGATTACATATTAAAATTAAACAAATTTACCCAAAAATGCATTTAGAAACTAGATAAACTGCGCAGACAAATTTACTGCGAGTTAACCCTATCATGCAAAGCAACTCGGTGCATATAATGACAGCTTTTCTAAACCAAGGGTCTGTAACTACTTTTTATTTGCCATGGTTAAAATTATAGTTTTCAGAAATGGCGATGTTAGAGGCAGTCAACCAATTGCGATGTAAAACCATTACATCAATATAATGATGGTAACATAGATAACCTGACACAACTGTCAGAAAAAGTGAACGACCACGTCATCTGTTGGGCAACAATTAAAATTCACTCTATCCTTGAATCAGCCACTACTTTATTCATACCATGAGTAACAAAAAACTATTGATGAAGGAGCAAAATTCTATTTATATTCATTTTATCAGGCGAAAATGAAAATTTGGCAGAACAAAACTGGGTCGCAACTCGCAACCCTTGGTCTTGAATCTGTATTCAAATTCAAGGTAATAGCTAAGAATTTACAAAAAAATCTCACCACTATGGATAAAAGAATCCCAATACCACAACAAGCAAAAAATCCTGTTAATCTTGTTTGCCAAGATAGTGATGGGCATAAGCTGTCACCCCCTGTAACCTGCAAAACATATGTATAAGTAAATGCTTCTTGTAGAAATAGTAAAGTTGTCGAACATTCAATTAAACAAGAATGTATATTGGGTGAAACTGATGAAATAAATATTTGAAATTTTCAAACCTAATGACATCATGGAATTGTGTAAATTTATTTACAAAAATTATTGGGTATACAATAATACATATACCTGATAGTATAGACCAGGAGCAATTCTACACTTATTGCAGGGAACCAGGGACAAACAGGGTTGTCCAGAATGGACCAAACACAGGGGACATGGATGTAATCAATGACCATATATTGCAACTGAAACTGCAAACTTTTGTGATACCAACGATTATCATGTCTGCAGTAAAATTTATATCGGTGAGGGATTCCATACAGGTTTACGCCATTGGCAATAATGAGCAAAACATTTTGCTCCATGGCCATTGATATTTATTAATTTGAAAAGAACATTACAGCATGTGTATAAGTTCTGCAGTATTTCTATATTCGCACAATCCTGATTCTTCTTATCCTTGCATTAGTATCATACAAGATACAATTGCTTTAAAAATTACATCGATTTAATGTCCATGTGGTTAAATAACTGATATGTTCACAAATGAAATATCAATACTAATATCAAATTATTTCCTATAGCGAAATAAATATTTCATGAAACCTTTAATAAAATACCACCATAGTTTATCACTCATACAATATTTATATTTGATTAGAATTGAATTCTTTCACAATTACCAGAAAACAACAATCATTTCATCCCAAAATTAAATCAGATATTCGATTTAGGGGCCATTGTATTATAACACATAATGTTATAAATTTGCAGTGTTCCAACAAACTAACTTTTCACTTGAAAAATCTGACAAGTATCAAGTTCGCAATATTTCGAGAATCAAAAAGGATGAAACAAAACATTTTTAAACTATTACATACAAAGTGAATGTATTTGAACAAATCAGAAGTAAAGAGACAAACAATACTGTGTTGTTATATTGGATTTTGTAACTGAGACAGTGAATGTCTACATAGGTAAAATGATGAGCGGAGTATAATAATGTCAGCATTCAATTTCATAGTTTTTCACATTCTATAAATGGGATATATCTATGCTGACATGCTGTTTTGATGACCACTATCCAACTTTACAACTACTAATGCTAAACAGACAATAAAAATTCTCATCTGCAAATTCTTCCAAATATCACTTGAAAGAGAGATTACTCTAATTCCAAAGCAGGAAACAATTTAACAATGATGAGTTCAATTTAATGAAACAATTTAGAATACATATAGTCAAAACTCAAACATACATATAGTAAATTAGTAAGTCATTGTCATGGTGTGGGTTTTTGGGACATTGACATTCGCAGTGTCCAGAGAAAGACATATTGCTGCTAATTTTTTTTTTTTGCGTCACAATCCTATATTTACTGACTAATAGTGTGAGTGTGACTGATGTTATCCAAAATTGAACAAAGTGAATGCTTCGCCAATAATACAACCAAGAACCAACACAGCTATATACAGCCTAAGAGTTGCACTGTTTTGAAATAATAAGGTCCTATAGTTATGCAACGGAAAACATCTGTCGATGTGTCACTGCCTGCTTGAAAGGAAGGAAGTAAAGGAAGAGCACTACCAATAAAACAATGAAAAAACCTGTGATGCCAGTGACTAATACATACTCAACAATATCAACAAGCCACATAAATATGAAAAAGGATGCCTTTAACTAGAACCATACTACCAATAACGGTCACATAGTGTACATATATAAAATTTGATATAGCACATGCAAAAAGAAACACACATCACCACATATTGTCACTCACACTAGTGCTGAAATGGCATGAATATTATACTATCATGCACCAAGCATACAGCACAAATAATCACCTTGTAACAAGACATAGCTACCCATGTTCCTGGTCATATAATAATGCAATTTATAAATCGAAAAAAGTCAGTCCTCGATATGATGGACGTTATTAACTTCCTATAATTATTATGTATGAAGCGGGTCTAGTGTCATATATAACTGAACAGATCAAATCCCATCCATGACATAAGCCTACTTCTATGATGGGAACTTACATAAGTTGTTTAGAATCAGCTTTGCAGTAATCTGTGACCATTGATAATTTACAAAATAGGGAAACAAAAGAAAAATGTATCAAATCAAGTCATTTACAAGTAGAAAATCCAATTAGGACTTTATAACCAATGTTAATCAATGTACAAAATATAGAATAGAAACATGATAAATAACGGGGACACATTGTGGACCTGAATGACAAAAAACCAATATTTAAACAATATTTGTAAACATTTGAGGTAAAGCATGATTTCCAAATTTTACTAAAAACTAATCTAATTTCCATTTTTTTGTACTAATTTCTTTGACCATCCCTAGCTTGTATCGTATATTTTCACTTACATTTCCGCCTCCAAGCATGTGAGATTCTTCATCCTCATCTTGACCATTCAAAACTTTTCTCAGAGAATCCATTATATTTAGGAAATAATAAATTATTATCTATATAACATCCAAATGGTCTAATACGAAAAAGTTGAAATTTGAACATTTTATTCTAGTTTATGGCACAGATACCATATAATTGGGTACTCCTGGAGTATGCGTACCAAAACGGCGGACACAGGAATGTAGCATGTGTACCAGGTTAGGGTTAGGCCATAATTTTAGGTACAAATATTACAGGAGTCACTTGGCTAGTCCCCGAACTCGTAATAGAACTAAAATAAGAAAAATTGGAATAAAATTATGACCCATCCCTAACCTGGTACACATACTACGTTCCAGTGTCCGCCATCTTAGTACGCATACTTCAGGAGTACCCATAATTGAACCTCTACTTGCATGCAAAACATAAAACTGTGATACTTTCTAAAACAATTACATGCACCAAAATCCTTCTTCCATAGGTATGATTACACACTACATCGGCACTACTTTTTAAAATATATTTGTTTCATTAAAATGCACATGTTTTACTGCAACTAGTTCAAGCATCAGTACCGTATATTATGGTCATAACGAGATTCAAAGTACATAAATTAATAACAAAATCATGCAGACAACTATTCTCCAAAACACACTAAGCATCAATTAAACGATGAATAATAATATATCTTCAACGTAGCTAAAAGCTTGACTGTATATCCTGAGAAAGGAAGTCACATAATAAACTGAAGTATTGATTATGATATTAAAAAGCGAAGACTATTGCTAGAAGCCACTTGCTGGGTCATATTTTATTGCTTTTTTGATCATGATTATAGTAGTAGTCATGCATCGTATACAACAGTGAAACAATGTAGCTACAGGATACAGTATTTAACCTATTGGCAGAAGGAAACAAGTGCAAATAGATATATGTGTCATTCTATCTCTAGGGAAGTATGGTTGGTGCAATAAAATATATTGTCTTGGTATTCTACATTCAAATGCATGGGACAAGCACTACCTTACTATAGCAGATGCAGATGTAAAAATATAGACAAGAGCTTGAAACTATTGTAGGGATATAGAATATTAAAAAAACAGAAGAATATCAACCAATTATGTCCATAAACTAAGGTTTAATCAAAGATATAAAATTTATAATTGGCAAGAGAAAATGGCCAATGTGTGAGGATGGAAAAACAGATAATCCTCACGACGAGATGTATTTATTGTAATGCATTCATATATTCCTACTTTAATGACAAGGATCTATAAGAAATGTAAGCGACTTATTCAGCGCTCAGTTTAAGTCTATTATATTGATTAAAAATCAGAAATTCGCTTTAATACATCCATAAGATGTGCAGCTCGTAAATTATTAGTGCTCATTACTGCTACCTTGAAATGTATGTATTCAGTCATTATATCTAGTTACCAACTTGTGAATCTGAGATGAAAATAAAACATAGTCACTATCTGATGAGATATGTTTTAAATATGGGTAGTTGCTCAAATCTCAAACTGCCCTGTTTCAGTATGATATAAAACACATATTTTCCATAAAAAAAATCCCTTAATATGATGAAGCAGAAATATGGAAACTAAGTATAAAACATGTAGGCATGCTACACATGTAAATGGGTCTTATAACATCTCACATCCTGATGAATCATCATCACAACAGGTCAAAAATAGCCATAAAATAGTATTGTCACATGACCAATACAGAGCAAAGATATTAATTACACTAGCATTCGAATAGAAATAACATGACAGTATATGACATAATGACACTAATAAATTTTCAAACTGTTATTGCATCAAACAATTCAAAGAAGAATGTCAGTAGAATTACAGACTACAATCCAATAATATCAAATTGAAAATTATGTATTGAACTTCTTTAACCTAACATTTGAATTATATTGCTCTTGTGCAATAAGGACAAAATACTCAATCTGAGATTTGGCAAAAAATTATCCAAAACATCTGAGCAAACTTACCGATGTAACAAGTCCAGCTTCACCCCCATCTTCATTCCCATTTAACACATTACGAAGTTTATCCATCCTTTGCAGTTAGATAATGCAAGACAGCAAACATGGATTGACAAATTACGCAAATTAAAGTTTTGTGCAGATTCATACAAAGTAATGACAAAATATTTTATTACTGGATTAAAGTAATATTAAAATAAAAGAGAAAAATAGGTTAATTGAACATAACCATGCGTTGAGTAAAATTTGTTAATAGCCACAAATTAATGTAGGTTTCTAAATCTACATTTTTCAAAAACTACACAACATTTTCGCAACTACATCATAATATGTTATTGTGTAAAATTATAAGCGTTAATTACCATAAATATTTTGTTAAACCCATTTTTTTACTTTCTATTGTTTTCATTATTTTAAAGGATTAGAACAGAATTATAAATTCGCAAAGGTTTCTATTGATTGACGAGGTAACATAAAAAAGATATAATAATAACTACTAATTAATTTCAACTATGAATTTTTCATGGACAACTCGAACAAAATCAAGACAAATAGACATGACATTTTGAAGAAATATGGTTAACGCTGACAAAATCTACAAACACAATCCAAAATGTGATTAAAACTGATATGGAGATCATATCAAAAACCTCTAAAGTCGAAAATGCTCCACAGCTGACAGGTGACCCAAAATAATATTTCAGAAAAACACAAATGATAGAGCAGAAAATTGAATTGGAAGTTGACGAAGGTCAATCCACCAAATCATAAACTATGCCAAATAAAACTAATGACACATGCAATCCTTTAACAATACAGCAATGGGGTTTGATAGGAATAGATTTAAGTTTGCGGTAAAAGCAAATTTGTGATGTAAAAATTGAATCGAATAGTGTTAATGATAACCTATGCACTGTGCCTTATATTTGTCTGCTTTTTATTTTTGGCAACATTTAAAAATGGTGAGAAAGAGGCTTGCCCATCTGTCTTCAGCATGTGAATATAGCACAGTAGAGTCATTTCTAAGTCATCAAGTGCTGCACAGATAATTTAGACACAAAAGTATATTTCGGGTAAAAATATTATTTTACCATCGGATAAGTTAACCCTGCTGTTATTACTACCTGCATCATACTTATTCCAGAATAGAGAATAGATTAACTATAGGCTATTAATCACATGGCGAAAAGCTGCTAAGATAGCTTAGTCAAATAGCAAAGATCGGGTTAACAGGTCAATCTATGGTGCAATAAGGCCAAGTATAAAATAAACAAATTGCAGTTTTGTAATAGATGTGTTCAATTAACTTCTAGAGTTCTACTTAACTTCATAAGCCATAAAGGTCAGATTTTATTTTAACCATCATTTGAATTTACCTATTGTCAGATTATACACGTTGATAGATAAATTTAGAATTAGCTTATTTTGATTAAGTGTATCGAATACCAAAGCTCAGAAGCTTGAGCTGCCTGAAAAGTAAAAAATTTGTTCAATAATTATAACTTAGTCATGATGCCTTTCCTTTTGTGATAATTTCCAAGTTACTATTAAGTTCAAGCGTCCCCATTTTGAAGATGTGGCAACAGACTAAAATAGTTTGTTGAATCTCAGAAAACGAATATAAAAGTTATAGCGTACCAGTATACAGCATTTATTTCTCGCTAGTTATATGATTTATCTCAGTATCTAGGAAACAAGTCATGATCCAGTAATCTAAACCAAAACTAGATACAGGTACAACCAGACAACTGTACAAAGAAAGCTAACTTCAGAACTTGTGCATGTAAATCCTATACTAACATAATATGCTTTGTCCACCCGTTGTGACCATATTTCCTTATTGGTATGGTGACACTTAATCGAATAATCTGAACCCAAGGGGCAAGGGATCCTCACATTCGATAACACTGTTCTTACATGATCTTCTGCAACAAGATGTTTCCTGCTACAGACAGACAGAACTAGGTAAGTTATAGCTTTATGTTTTAGCCCACGGTTACAAAGATGTAATCTATAACTTTATTACAATTGGGCAGTCGAACTAAAATCACCCTGTCAGTTGCAGATTTAGCATAACTTACTTGAAATTTTTTCATTTGACAATTTTGGGGTTTATTAGATACAAATGCTAAAATGCCAGAATGTACTGATCCACGATTCCTGAACTCATCTACCGAATACTGTACGACTGTAGATAATGCATGAATTCCGAGAACGAAACCCTATTTCAAATGATAGATCTACCGGACGGACCAGTGTTACCTCACTCCACAATTTTGGTTACCGTACGATACCGCGGTACCGTAGCCCATAATTCTGGAAACGACAGCCCACGCTTCAGTTTAGCGTAGCGGCCGCATATGTTTTGATGTTAAAGATCATGTTATCAGTCCCATGACTAAATTCATTAGGTACCGTAACGGTATGCTTTGTTAAAATGCAGTGATGGTTGTAGATCAGTGCTTTTCAACATGGGTTCTAGGGTTTTGCAATACATGCAGTGGGGTTCCGTGAGTTTATAGGGTTTCTTAGCTTAGAGCAGGGGTTCCCAAACTTTATTGGCCGCGGGCCAAAATTAGAATCGGAAAGATGTTCGTGGGCCGGAAGAATGTAGCGCCCAAAAGTGCATTCACTTCCATATTGTTAAAAAAAATTACACCTACGAAAGTGAAAGAAAGAAAATATTTCACAACAAAACATGCTTATGGGGAACATTGGAATGGCTATCTCAATACATGCAAGCTGCTGAAATTTATGTCAAGATGTAACAAAACTACTTGAAAAAGTATTCAAAAAAATAGAGCAAATGTATAAGCAAAGTACTGCAGCCAAAATAATAACAACAAGATGGACAATAGAATTCGCGGAATACGAAAACCATTAAAGAAAAACAGCAGCTAAAACGAAGATTAAGATATATGTGATTACAGTCAAGTTTCTGTACTCCTGAAGTATGCGTACTAAGAATTGAGGACACCGGAACGTATTGTGTATACCACGTTAGGGTTAGGCCATTTCCAATTTTTCTTATCTCAGTTCTATTACAATTTCGGGGACTAACCAAGTGAGTTTTGTGGTATTTGTAGCTAAAATTATGACCTAATCCTAACCTGGTACACATACAATGTTCCATTGTTCGCATCTTGGTACACGTACTTCTGGAGTACCCAAGATTTTTTCTCAATAATCCATAGAAATACAAATTATTATTTTAATTATTGATGTGATTAAACATTGAATATCGAGTAATGTTAATAGTGGTATTGATGTTTTTTGAGGCTTTGGGAGTGGTTCTTAGTGGGGGTGAAGAGGTAATTAAGTTCTATCATATGCACATTGCCACATATTTCTTTGAGTGATCGCTGCTTTTCAATCAACTTCTCATTATATATGTAAACTGGAGCACCGATGGATTCTCAGCCCCGCAACCTGCAAAATATGCATCTTTCAAACTGAAAATCGTTTGGTGGTTTATTCAATATTTAGAGTCAGGGGCATAAGGGGAGTAGTTGAAAAGTTAGATTAAAACCCCTAGAAGGTTTGAGTGGAAGCCGGCAAATGTGGGTTTTAGTCCAGATGGTCTGACTCGAAAAAGTTTTTCAAGCCACGAAAAATTTATATGTATGATATAGAAAATGAATATAGAAGACTTTTATTTTAGATTCAATCGGAGCGAGGTCAGATGTTTGGTCTAATACGGCAGGGGGCCGCAACTACGGGGTCGAGACCCAAATTTGGGTCGCCAAGCCCTCCGCTCTGGGTCGCGAAACAATTTGAACTTTCCATAAATATGAGCATCGCGTCTGTGTAGCATATTTACGTACAACAACTTTATAAATCTCTGATTATAATTATAAATGTTTCCCGAAGTATAAACTTCCTTATTTACTGCCGTAACATTGGCCAATCAGCATAAGTGCAAAATTAAGGTAACAATAAACGTTTCAGAAGCGCTCAGATACTTTTGCCATTCAGACAGTCTTTCGTGGTTGTGAATATTATCTCGTTTTGGCGGTTTTCGCGTGTTGTTTGTTAGTTTTTAGTTGTATTTTGGTAAATATAAGTCCTAATCAAATAACTCAATAATCATTTTGCTCTGTCGGAGTTTTATTTCAAATGCAGTAATCAAAAATTAATCTAGAAATAGCTGTGATAGACTAGGCCAAACCTTTCTATAGGCACATGTAAATGAAAGGTTGTTGGATGTATTGAATTAAAATGATAGTTTGAAACATATAAACCGGTTTATAGGCGCGAACTCGCAAAACCAATATCGAAATGAGAACTAATAATTTGGCAATGGTAGGGTATAAAGCGGAAGAATTTTGCCGGGATCGAAAATCGGCGAAACATTCATTACGTAGGTGTTTGCATTGTTAATTGGTATTATCCTACTACGTAGGTAGACAATTGTATTGTTTCGTAGCAATGTTCGCGAGGTTAGAAGTAGTCATGTGGAATTGCTTGATAACGACAGATGATAAGATTTGTCCATTCTAAATTAAATAGTTAGGGTGCTGTTACATTTGTTATTGTAATTATTCTTTGTTAAATTAAAAATTTAGCAGTGTTAAGAATTTTAAAGGTAGTTTTAGTCACAAATAATGTTGACAAACTGGTTACTAATAAATACTCTAAAAAAGTCGCGAGCGGAAGATGCAACGGAGAAATTAAGTGAGAACAGAACACCGCATGCACCTTCAAACATCTTTGCGTCTTCAAGCAGTGGGGATCAACGCCCGACAAAAGACTCATCTCCTCACCCTCATCGGATAGATATACATCACTCAAACCACCCTTATAAGCGGAAGTACAACGAAGAATTTATAAAGCTTGGTTTCACGTGTATTCTTATAAATGATGAGTCACGTCCTCAATGTGTTGTTTGTTCCGGTGTTCTTGCCAACGAGAGCCTGAAAGCAGTGAGATTGAAACGCCATCTTACAGCAAAGCATCCAGATTTCATTGGCAAACCAATCCATTTTCCGCCGATCAGAAAAAGAATTGTTAGGCGAAAAGAAAACAATGACAAAGGATCTCACAATCTTGAAAAAATCTCAAAAGGCATTGTATGAAGTAGCATATTTAATCGCAAAAGATAAAAAAAAAAAAAACACCGTTGGAGAAACACTAATCGCAACTATTGCAATTAGTCAAATTATGAATGGAGACAAGGTAACTAAGGAA